TTTACTCATTACCATAATTAGCTTACACATTGCCAAATTTGGTTGCAGTAGTTTAATAATTACCATATTAAGCTAACTCATGTCATATTTGATTGTCCCATGTTCATATAAACAAATTTGAAACAAAAATAATCTTTTTTTCTTTCATTTTCAGAAAGTGTTATCGTTCTCTCTTGATATATGTAAAGACTACAAAGCTGTGGAAGAGGTCATGAAACAAGTATGGATTGGACACTGTTGTCTTTATATTTATTTACAAATATTTATCAGACTCATCAACACATCTTTATTTCTTTACATCCATGCTACAAAGCTCAAAATTAACGAAACATCATGGTAGCTATCAGTTTTTAAAGCAAGTAGTTTCATATTCATATTGAGTAAACCATCAAGTTTGGTAGGCAATGATTTAAATCCAAATACAAGTATAATTAAATAAATATAACAATTGCTCAACTATTTTAGTTAACTTTTAACCTGGTGAATGTAACAATGCAGTTTTATTTATATTGTCAATTTCTAGTACTTGAATCGGACTACTACATTCAAATAGCTGTAGCGTTGCAAAAAAAAAAATTGGTGGTCTGTGTGCCAATTCTGATTTCTGATGTTCCCTAAACATATAATTTTTCACCAAAGAGACAGAATGTATTATTTCTTAGACTGTAAGCAACAATTTGTTGAGTGAATCACAATAGATAATGAATTACACAAGAAAATGACTCATAATAAGTCATACTGAATGATAGGCAATGAATTACACTAGACATTGAACCACACTAGACACCGAGTCATACTAAATCACACTAAACATTGATTCAATGAGTACAACAAATATTGAAATAAGAGACATTTGACAATGAATTACTATAGACAATGACTCAAAGGATTACTGTACACAATGACTTATGAGTCATTGAATCACTGTAGACAATGTCTTAATGGATTACTCTAGACAATAAGTCATTGAATCACTGTAGACAATGTCTTAATGGATTACTCTAGACAATAAGTCAATGAATCACTGTAGACAATGTCTTAATGGATTACTCTAGACAATGAGTCAATGAATCACTGTAGACAATGTCTTAATGGATTACTCTAGACCATGAGCCAATGAATCACTGTAGACAATGTCTTAATGGATTACTC